CAAACTGCGCAACCCACCAATTCGATTCCGACTCGTGCCTAGTGTGACTGACATGGGAGTGCATATAGTGATGGTTTCCTGCTTTTTTGGGTTGTCTAATAATTTTTGGCCAAATTTCGACACTTTCCTTTGTTTAAGTTGTCTTTTATGAAAGGAGTTGATCGGAATTATAGCGCCACTACCATGATCACTGATATGTATGCATCCGCTCGCTAGGGAACGAATGGAATCAATCTTCCCAGAATGAGTGAAGCTGGGGGTTGAACATCTGTAGAGGTCGTTTTTGGGGTGCTTCTCTTCCTTGACTTTCCTTTGTTGCAGCTGATGCTTCAGGGCGCTGTGGTGGGGATACTTCAGTGGAGTAATGTCAGAGCTGTAAGAGGGAACCACATTTGGGAACCCTTCTGAAACGTCCTGGCTAAAAGTCCAAATGCAATCTTCAACATGCCTACACATTTCGCGACACACCGGTTTTACTTTTGAAGAAATTTGAAATTGAAGCGGTCAGGGGGTATGGGACAACCCGATAGTCCTTTGGAAATTTTGACTTCGTTTTTCTTACAATTCCTTTACCGTTGCTTAGTCTTTTTAACTTGACCTTTCGCAGATTTTTATCAATGCTCTAATAGGAAATCAGGGAAACAGGTAGAAGCAAGCAACAGCACTAGTTTCACCTCTTCAGTGCGTTTGGGGATTATGAAAAGAGTTGAATTGAATTGAAGCGCTTGCTTGCGCAAACACTGCCTGCGAAAAATGTTCACCTCACGTGATACTTTTCCGAGGGCTATTACATAATAGATAAGAGCTCATAGTCTTAAGAGTTTTCACGAGATTAAAAAGGAAATATCAAATATGTATGTTTGATTCTTTTTTTTTTTCGAAGTTCTATTGTTTTTTTTTCTACATGTGCCTTTCGCACACGTAATTAATCCAAATCTAAAAAATCTAAATGAAATCGTTTGCAAACTTCCCACAATTTGTCCATGAGCTATATTTTAGAAACCCGGCGAGAGTGATGAGAGCACAGCCACGTCACAGAAACAGCCGAAGAGAGCCGCTCACGTTCAGTGGAGTACCCAAAATCCAAGCGTGGCTCAAGTAGACGAAACGACGACAACTCCACGGTAAGCATCAAAGGCTGCATAGATAGATGATGGAGATGTACCATAGCAAATTAGAAATCAGATTGAATTACAGACCTCTGGAATGGGCTACGGGGAAGCCAATTCAATCAGAGTCAGTCGATGAGTCAAGAGGGCAAAGCCCATCTAGAGCTTCACAGCAAAGACGCCGATCGGATACCTCGCGAAAGGTACCTTGCAAGATCTGATTGATCTCATAGTCTCGTCATGACTGAAATTTTAGG